ACTTTTTGGTCATTTTGACCCTTGGTCAACTCTAGGCCAAACTAGATCCAATAAAATGTATTTTACTAGTTAACATGACATATTAGAAGTCATGTGCAGTGTCAAAGGTCTTGGAAAAGGCCCCAAAGTCAAATTCCACAAAGTCAAAGGTCTTGGGGAAGAACAAACTTAACTCTTGGATTGACCTAATTGACCAAGCCAACTATGGTTGACCAAACTACCATTTGAACCTTTAAACGTGTATTTTAACCCAAATAACTTCCTCATCACTTGGGATCACTTCCATTAGATTTAAATGACCAATCCAAACTTAATGCATCAAGACCTTGGTCAACTTGTTTTACCAAGTCAACCAAGCTTGACCAAGCTCACATACACTTCTTTTAAATACAAATCCTTTGAGCAAGGCCTTTTTAATACAATTCAAGCCCATGGGATGACTCATTAAACCCCTAAGGATGTCCTCTTGAAGGCCCAAAACTTGGACCCACTTGGGTTAGCCATATAGCTTGACCCAAGTGTCCAAAGAGAGCTTCCTATGAGCCAAATTCCACCCTAACTCAAATTCAATCAAACCAAAGCATTGGTTGGGTCCCTTATAACCCAACACACCTACCCGAATTGATTTAGTCCTTGGGTCAACCTAGGTTGGAAATTGAGCTGGCCAAAAGTGGTAAAAAACATTAAGGGTTGAGCAATTTCTAAACCTAGGATCCACCAATCCATACCAATGCTTGCATTGTGTGGTCGTAGATCCAACACACCTACCCTAGTCAGCCCAGCCATTGAGTTGACTTGGGCCAAGATCTAGGCTAGCTCAAAATGTTTAAAACCACTTTGACTTGAGATAACTCCCATTATAGACTAAACCAAACCCCATTCTCTATTACATTAGATAGGTCTGAAATTACTAAAAGACAAGAGGGGGGGTGAATTGTAAAAGTTTTTCTCTTAATAAAAATTAACCCTAAACAAGAGTTCTAATTTTTTTTGTTGTTTTTGAAATATTAAAAACAAAGATCTATGGAATTTTACTTTACCAAAAAAAAGAAACCACGTGCAATAGATATGACAAAATTAAAGTGCAAGCAAAAAGTAAACAATGATAAAGAAAGAACACACCAAGAACAACCTGAGTAGCTTGATTGAATTGGGCCTTGCCATGCCCAATTTATCACATGGTTGAGCTCACCTGACTTGTAGTGTCCTTTCCACATCACCCTGACTAAGCTAATGGCATTTTGTGGCTAAAGAAAGTGGATTTGAGCCTCAGTTGTCCCCTTCATCTTAGGCCTCATCTAAATCCTTCCAAAGGCTAGGTTCATAAGCCTTAAGCTCATAAGGCTCATAGATGATGTCCCCTCCCGCTTGGCAGCCATCAAATGTCTTTGTTAAGCCATCCCAACCATCCAAATACATGGCTTTAGTTTAAATAGGGCACCCTATTTAAATTCATCTCATTCCCCACCAGTATTATGAATCTCCTCCCTAGAGCCCTCTGAGTATTCACATCCCATTTCACAGCTTCCTAGCCACTTACAGTCAATGTTTTGAGCAAACTCTGATGAAATTCCTCAATCCTTCACTTGAAGTCACACCTTTATTGATCCTCGAGCCAGAACACCTAAAGTACAAGTCTTTTCCTTCATCCCTTTCAAGCTTTCAACTATAAAACCCAATTGTTAGGGCTTTCTATAAGGTGAAATCCTAATCCCAAGCCCATAGTTAGGTAACAGTGTTCAAGTGTGAATTAAACCATCGAAACACCAAAATATGACCATTAAATTGACAGTTTACATTATCCTGATCCCCCTTGTCAAATTGTAAAGATGTTTGCTAGAAGGATCTCTTGAATCACGTCAGAGAAGGTCTACGGCTTCGAGTCCATACGGAAGGAAGAAGACATAATCCTAGCAATTTATTTCATTCAATAATTCATTTTATATCCCATAGTTCCAAAGCCCATTTAATTCTAGCATTCATACCCATGATCCAATGACTACTTTCAATACTACGTCTACATAATCAGTCATAAAGATTGACTGACCAATCAAGTGGCACGCACATGTAAAGCGTTGGCTGATTGTGCAATTAGGGCTATAAAAATTAGAAAAATACTAGTAAAAATTTAGGGAAACTTTAAAAATTAATATCTCCTCACCCACTTGAGAATTTTACATGATCTTAGGCTCATTAAGAGATCTTGAGGAGACCTAAAAAATCCCTATGGTCTCAAGCCATGATCATGCTTGAAACTTAGTCAATTTCAATAATAGCCTTGGAGTATTTTAGTAATTTTAGGTCCAACTTGATTAACCCTGGCTTGAGACTTGGGGAGGTCAATTTTGGACATGCCTCTGACATACCCAAAATTCCTCTCATCTGTTTGATTTGATTAAGGGCATGACTAAGTCCACGTAGGCTTAAGGGTCATTAATTAACCCTTAAGTTCAAATAAACCTAGTGATCTATCTAATGATATCTAGGGTTTGAATTTTTGGGTGCTATTCATGCCTATTTCAAGGGTTATATGGCCCCTAATTTCACCACAATCCCTAGTCAAGGTAGCTTCCTTTAGATTATTAAAGGTAACCTAGAAGTTACCTTAGGTGGTTTCATTAACCACCTTAGGGGATCCATCTTTGTTCAAGGTTAATGGGATTGGGTCTTGTGATCAAGTGAATTCATGGCCCAAGTTTCATTGAAATTAGAGTCCATTTGGACCACTATTTAGGTGACCCAAAATAAGCCTTAAAATCAACCAATGATTTTAATTAAATCATAATTAAATCAAATAAAATCCAAAATTTTTAAATAATATATTAAATTGACCATAATTCAACTCTCTACCCATGAAAATTAAAATCCATTTGATCAAAGTTTTAATTTAGGATTAAAATAATTTTTAATGAAAAATACCTTTTCATTAATTTAATTGAGTAAAAATATCTAAAAATTCCCAAAAAAAAAAAAAAACTTGAACACTTGGAAACATCCCCTTGGGTCATTTTTTTACCTTTGGGGATTAGTTCAAGGAGTTTGGAACTAATTTGGACCAAACAATCTCAAAACCTCTCTGATTAAACAAATTAAGAAACCTCAAATAAGTACCCAAAATTTAAAAAATTATAATTAAATCTAAAAACAAATTAAATTAATCAAACTTAAAGCCATTCAACTATATTTAATGTCTAATATTTTCCAAAAATATTCACCCATCAAAATCAAATGAAAGTAAAAAAGTCAACATTCTAATCAATTGTAGTTCAAAACTAGGCCAAAACTTTTGAAAATTATAACAAATGTAGGAAATTCCAAATTTAGCAAAATTAGAGTCCAATTACTCATCATAAGTTTTAGTATTTAGAAAAAAATTATAAAAAACAAGAAATCACTTCAATTTAAAAAAGAGAGATGGAATCTTCATTTTTAAAATGTTACATTACTTCTAATCCTAGAGGAGAAATGTCTTTTCTTGGTTCTACCCATAATTTCATTGATTACTACCAATCACATTATTTGACCAACAAAAATTAGGATTGTTCCTCCAACATGGATTTTTTTTTTGAGAAACTGCAGATAACAGTATTATTAAAATGAACCATAGACGAAGAAAAACTAAGTGAATTTGGATATCTCACATTCCTCCTTCTTATGATTAGTATGTTCGATTTGATTGCAGCCTCTAGGACAGCCATTGTGATTAATGAGTCTTCTATACATTAAAAACTCATTACTTGGTAATGCTTTGTTCAGCAATCTCCACCAAAAGAGTTCTATCTTTGCCCTTGGTTTTAACTTCTTCAACCATCTCAAGTTGGCGTTCTCCTCTTCATTGAAGGACTTTTGTTCAAAAATGATAGCTGACAAGGATTTCCCATAATGTTTAAATGTAATCTCTAATTCATCTTTAGGAATTTTGTTCTAGATCGGAACAGAACAAATCAGTTCAACCAATTATGGACTGAAAACTTGCTTTAGATTTGTAACATCCCATCTACCTTCATGTTTAAAATAATGTAAGCTTTCTTGTTCTTCTTGCAGATTTGTTACAAAAGTAGGCCATCTATCAATGTTTTTATCAAGGATCCACATATCCTTGGAAGTATTAATGAGTTTCCCATCCATCACCTTCCATCTCAGAATTTTTTGTAGAGATTTAGCTCCCTTTGTTATAATCTTCCAAGAAGAAGAATCTCCATATTTGTGGTCATATTCCATGATTTCTAAACTGTATTTAGCAATAAGAACTCTGTTCAAAAGGGACGTAGGATTTGAGATGAGCTTCCAAGCAAATTTAGCTCTCCAATTGTCAATTTTATCAACAGCAGAGTTTACACCTTGGCCACCAAATTTCTTGCTTTTATAAAGAGTTTCACAATCAACATAGTGAATGCCTTTACTCTTATCTTGTTTCCTCCATAAGAAATCTCTACTCAACTTGTCTACTTAAGCACTCCCGAAGGAATCAAAGAGTGTGTAGAAAGAAAGGTTGGCAAAGACAAGAAGGCAAATTTAATAAGTTGTAATTTACCAGATATAGTAAGAAAATGATTTCCCCAAAGATTGAGCTTGTCATAGAGTAAGAAAACGATTTCCTCCAACATGGATTACATATATTTAAATAGGGAGTATTTTATCTTTAAATTACTTTAATACTTTTAATCCCTTGCATTTTATTATCTTCAATCAAATTTTAATCTCCCAAAGATTCAGTAACTATTCAAAAATTTACTCCCATTATATTAAACTTTTAAAAAATTTTGCAAATTGTGCAAATCAAGATTGAAAAATATCATATTCATAAATTATAGCTACTTTTTTCAGGATTTATTCTATTAGCATGCCACTACAAATTATTAGTAGTCATTTCCTCAATTCATTCCTAACATTTCTTAAATGGCTTATACAATAATGATCCTCTAGCTGCAGCATAAATTATAGCTCTAAGAGATACTGCTAATCCATTATAAAATGTTTGAATAATCAATTAATAAGTTAATGCATTATGAGGGCATTCTCTAGGCTTTTTCTTAAATCTTTCCCAACTCTCATAAATGGATTGTCCTTCAAACTAAGTAAAATAAGTTGTGCCATTTCTAAGTTTGACAATTTTGAAGGTGGAAAATTCTTAGCAAAAAAACTTATAAGCCAACTCATTTAGAGTAGTCATAAAGCCTAGGGGTAAAGAATTTAAGAACAATTTAGCTTTATGTCTTTGAGAAAAGAGGAACAATCTAAGCCAAATATCATCATCAATAACACTATTATATTGAAATATTGCATAAAGTTTTATGATATTTTTTGCAGGAAGAACATGCTGATGAGTCAATTTTTTTCTTCCTTTTTTGGGTGCAGGCTTCCGGTCACACTAAAATGTTATTAGGTTATTTTGTTAATTGTAGAATAGGGAACCATTGGCTCATAGGTTTTCTTTTGATTTTTTTGTATCTCTTTTGAGCATTAGGGAGCTGAAGGTTCCCTTTATGGACCTAGTAATCTTTTTTTTTCATATTTATGTGTAGGCTCCATAGCAGGTTCCCTAAAAAAATGCTGCAAAACCATCAATTATTTATAGCCTATGCCACTGGGCATAGCATATTATACTTTCTGGCCTTAAAAGCTTTCCAAAACTCATTTAATGTCATCATTAACCTAAGTATGGTACAACTAACCAATATTAAACCTTGGTGGATCTTGGTTGAGTGTGGTTGGTCATGGTTCCACCAAAACCCTAAAACCTTAAAACCACTAAAACTAAATTTCCTTTAAACATCAATATGGCTCAGTCAAACCACGCCATGAAACCTCCTCCAACACATCACATAAGTGAAATGGAGTGTATTGAACCCAAGTGGAGTGTAGTGAACCCAAAAACAAGACTTGTTCAACCATAGTTATCCATGTAATCCTAGGTTGACCAAAGGTCAACCCCTTAAGCCCTAAAATATGCATTTTGAAGCAAATGACCTCTTCATGCCTTAGAACCACTTCCATTGAATGCAAACCATGATTTAGCATTATTTAGACCCAACTCTAGCCTATGGTCTAACCTAGTTAATTAAATAAATATATATTCAAATCATTATTAATTGCATTGACCTAGGTATACCCAATCAAAATTAAATCCATGAGACTATCCTTGAGATCTCTAGAAACCAACCCTAGGTGACCCAACCCATGGATTTATTTAGCCTAACCACATGGTTTAATCTAAGTGTCTAAAAACACTTATCATTGAACCAAAACTTAACCTAACTCAAATAATCTTGATCCAATTCATACATTAGGTGCCAAGTGGTCCCTTATATTAACCTTGATCAACCCAGCCTTTAGGCTACGTTAGGTGACCCAATTGGGCTAACCCAAAGACTAAAAAACAAGTCATCCTGAGCAACATTGCCCATACATACCTTACTTAACCCAATTAACATATGGATTAAGCTCAAGAATCTTTAAAATATCTATAAGCTCAACCTCCCCCTTGTGGCGGTTAAAGCCCACTAGAATCTTTAATATCAGTCACATGGTACATGGTTTAACCCAAACTTTCAAGCCATGTGACCCCAAAACTTAGAATTCTCAAGAATCATTCATAAGGTTGTATTAAATGATTTGAGGTAGCCTGAACCAAGCAAATTTCCCAGGGAAGTTCTTAGTTAAATGCCTATAAACACCCTAGTTTTTAATGAGTAAAACTTTATTTTTAAATCAATTTGATTGCTAAGAAAGTGAGTATTCTATTCCTCTTCTTCCAACACTCCACATGGTGGCTTCTAATACATTCAAGTATGCTCTTATGAGTCTATTCTAGCCAAACCTTAATTTTTGATCCATTCTTCCTCAAGTCTTACCATTGGAAGAAGAATTATTTTTTAAGTCCATAAGAACCTTCTTAAGCTAAGTCAAAAAAATTTGGAGCTCTATGTGAGGTATTTATCTACTCTTGAGCTCCTAGCTAGGTAAGTATGACTAACTATAAGAGAAACCTCCAATCCAATTGGATTCGACTATTGGATTGAAGGTTTATACTTAAATTATATTCTATGAGAAATTTTAAGGGAATCTGTTGGCCGATCTCTCAGATCTAGTGGGAATATGCTTATAGTCACAAATTTGAATGGGAGGTTAAAGATGAAATCATAGCCATTCATATAGATCAATGGCTTTTATTTGATCTTCATCTAATTTTTCTATTTTTTTATGCTTTAAATTGTATTCATCAAATCTTAGATCAGATGGCTATGGTTAACAACAAGTGAAACTATTACCACGACAATCATTGGCTTGCCTATCAAACAATACCACATGTAAAGGTATGTTGACTATGTAATTCCCTTTCAATAAAATTCAAAACATACATCTAACTTCAATTTTACATAACTCCTCACACAATTGTCCAAATTAACTTATCTTAGGTTCTATGGATTTAGCTTAAGTAGTTGAATAATAGCCCTATCATTGTATTTTTTTTATTTTTGTTTGTTAAAAGTAAATTTAGAAATACTCCAAGGGGTTTTTCTAAAATTACTCTTTAAGTACATCTCACCATGGAATGAAGTTGATATGAATAATTCTTGGGACGTATATTACATACCCACAAATTTTTAAATCAATTGACCTATAATTTAAAAATTCAATATACATAAATCTATAGAGAATTAGGTTAGGCGTGTTGATTGTTCTCTATCTAAAGGTTATAACACTATTGATTGCCACCAAATTTCATGAATATATCTCCTAAATTAAATCCCTATTGTTATAATTATATTTACCTAAGGGGATTCATTTTGAAACCTAGGGAGGCTTTGATGAACCCAAATTTAGTGGGTTTGAATAAAATATTTAAATAAACACATGTTTTAAATTTCAGTACATTTGGAAGACATTTCGTTGATCAATTAGTGAACCCAAAATTCAATATACATAATTGACTTAGGAACTTTAAAAATTCATAATAAATTCAACTTAAATAAAAATAAATAAATCGTAAGTGTACGTCATACTCTCATAATTAAAATCTTAACATAGTAAAATTATATTAAAATAAAAAATAATTTAAAATTTATAATAATTAATACAGTTATATACATAAAAAAATATTAAAATTTCCAAATTAGTTGTAAACACATGTAATCATCCCTTTGAGTCATCTCTAACATTTGGGGAAGATTTCAAGAGATTTAAAATATATTTGGTACAAAAATAAGAAATCCTTTCTATCTAAATAATTAAATAATTCATTAAATAAGATTATCTTGTAAAAATCATAATAATTATATTAAATCCAAATTCAATAATCTCAAAGTCATTTTACATATCATTGGGCATATTATTTATGAAAATATTAAACTTCAAGAAAATATTGTAAATCAAAATGTCAAAATTTTGTCAAATTTAATTCATTAAAATATATTCAACTTGTAAAAACCATAACAAAATAAATAAACTTAATGGAATTATATATACTCATAATTATGTCTATTGTTCATAATATATATATAAAACTTCCATTAACCAATATAAATCTAAAAGTTGATAATTGATCAAACCTAATTCAATAAATAATTCAAAAATAAAAAAAAAATTCAGTAAACCCTAAACTCATCAAATCAAACTAGATGAGCAGCAATAAAAAATAGTATTTACACTCTATTAAAGAATTTTTTAGGTTGGACTACCATAAGTTATGGTGCTATATGTCCTAAGGAGGTTTTGGTACTCATACTCGTTGTGACAGCAACACGAATGGATTGATGGAATGTGAATGATCAACTATAAACTTTAAAGATTTGTGATTAATGAGTTGAAATTAATAAATAACTAACACTCTATAGAAGTAATTTTTAGGCTAGACTACCTCGAGTTGCAAGGCTATATATCCTAAGGTGGCTTTATCCCTCATGCTTGTTATAATAATGCCATAAATGTATTGGAAAAATGAAAATTTTAAACTATAAACTTAATAAATCAATAATCAATAAACTAAATAATAAAATAAATAATAATAAAACACTTAAACATTACAGCTTTAATACCCATTTGCTTAACGCCTTATAGGAAGGTGAAGATGTATTAAATTATAAAGTTTTAAAAACTAAAACACTTAATTCAAATGCATGGACTCTATTCAACTTATTTATCTCATTTTTTAATGATTGATAGCTTTACAATAATGAGTTTAGAACTTGTTAATATATGACTTCTAGCAATTAAAAATTATTGAATGCTAAAATCTTTAAAACCTTAAGTCTATTATTTGGAATGTTAGGGGCATTGGTTACCCGTCTACTAGAATTAGAGTTAAAAATTTATGTTGTATTCATCACATTTTTATGTTAATTTTACTTGATCCTTTTATTTCTTCAGTCAAGTTACATACTATTTCTCGCTTTTTAGGTTTTAATTATGATGTGGCCAATGCATCTAAAAAAATTTGGGTTCTTTGGAAGGACCCTATAGTTATCGATATTATTGGAGATTTTAATTAAGTAATTCATTATAGTATTAGTTTTATGCATGTTAACTATTGTACTTCTTTTATTTATGTAGCCTCTTCTTGTATTATTAAAAAGACTTTGTGGAAGCAGCTTAATTCCTTTTTATAATGTTGTTAATTTAACTGGGTTGGTTAGTGGTGACTTTTATAATAGCTCCAACCCTTTGGAAAGGCTTGGGGTTCCAACCTTATTTATCAGTCTATGGAAGATTTTAATAACATTATCTTGGATTGTAACCTTTTTTATATTAGTTTTATTGAAGGCAACTTTACTTGGAATCATTGAAATCTGTGCCAACAATTGGATTGTGGGTTTTTAATGATAATTGGATTAATACTTTCAATTCTAGCCATGTTGATCACCTGGAAGAACGTTATCTAATCAATCTCCCATGCTTATTACCATTATGTTGAGAAATTATATTTATGTTTCCAACTTTGGATTTCAAAATATGTGGCTTCTTGAACCTTTTTTTCTTAGTATGGTTCAAGATAATTAGCAAGCTCCTCTTCACCCTAATAATTCTATTTTTGGTATGAATAGATTGTGGCTTAAGCTCAAAAAATTAAAGTATAAAATTATTTAGTGGAATCATAATGTCTGTAAA